TTTTTTTTTTTTTTTGGGGGGGGGGGGTGACGAGGGGAGCGGGGATATAAATAGTAAATGATTTTTAGCCAATTATAATAACAACAAGGAAATGTCAATGGAAATTGATTAATAATATATACATGCTCTGGCATTGACAAAAGCAACAGATACAAATTCTAAACATCGAGTTGGGGGAAAAGGGGGGGGAAGGTTTAGAAACTTATCAATTGACTTTTACTTAGAAGATGTCACAAAGGTGTAATGATATTGGAGGATTCTTTGAAATAGCTAATGAATGCCTTTATATGGTTGTGTCTTTAAGTATGAATGATTTGAGGTAAAAGCACGTTCAACTAATTGTAGTCAAATTAGAATTATGGTACATTGACAGTAAGATATACAAAGATTTTTGATTATAATATGAATTATATGATATATTATTTGATTATAATATAATAATCTAATATGAATTATAACTAATGACTGTGGAAGAAATGCATGAAAGTTATCTGTAAGCAATCAACATGCTTTCTACAAGATGTAATGAAGGATGATTCATTTTTTTTGTCTTTTTGTTCAATTAAAATTTAAAAAAACTTTTTCAAAAAAAAGTAGCCTGCAATACTGCCCTCTAACCACTGTGCAACCGCAGCTCATAATAGCTCAGCTACATAATAAAATCATGTTCATCCTGATTTGTGTAATTCTTCTGCTTAGGCATTTCTTTCATGAGGAATTCATATTTTCAAGTAGATTATTTTGATTCTAAGTATTCAATGTTTCAAATAAGGAAAGTAAAGACATCTAAAGAAAGTTAAACAAAAACTTTGTGGTATATTTAAATTGATTTCATCTCAAATTGAAGCACCTTGACTCAATGAGATTTCACTGCTTTGTGATAACAAAGAAAGAATGACATCAGTTAACTCCTTCTTTTTAATGTCTTGCTTCAAAGAAAATGTTCATAGATAGAGAGGAAGTTTGAGAAAATACAGAATATGGCTTTGGTGCAACAGAAGTACTTCTTACAAGGTAACCTATTACTTCTTTTCTTTTCTTTTGGGATTAAAGGAAAGAAAACAATTTTGTAACAGAGTAATTATAGTCGTTATTAAAGAGAAAGAGAAAGCAATACATATATAGATATTATAGGTAAAAATATTGTCAAAGATATATAGACATAGATATATCTTTCTGTTTTGTTAATAATGGGCATAATTAGCTGAGCATGATTAGCTGACATATATTTGACTATATATTCAAGTCAACTATCTTTAATCAAAATTTAGTGTAAAAATGGGGATCAGCTTGAGGTGTTTGCTGAAAAAAAAGTTATTCTTTAAGTTAAAAAAATGATCTGAAGCTGAACCTAATTCCATCAGAACTAGGATAGAAAATACCAAACTACAAGAGCTAAAAAATGGAAAAGGAACAAAAAATTAAAAAGGAGAAATCATTTTGGTACTGCTGTGAAAAGAACTCCAAAATAGATATCTCTATATAGTCTTTAGAAGGTCAAAAGGAGCATATGGTTTCCTTGTCAGTAAAGGTAAAGCAGGATACGTATTGAATATATAAACAGCAAATTAATAGGTTATTAGGGGAGAATGACTGCCATGGTGGAAACAATGGATGGTCCAGCATTTTCACACCACATGCTTCAACTTTCTAAAATGCTACAGCTTTTAATATGGTATATGAAGTAGACTTTTATAATGCTATGGATTAATACTGTCCTTAGAAACAGTTTCTTCTGTAGACTGCATAACTCCAATCCATGTGGGTAAATTAAAAAATATAATTGATATGTATGTAACTTCATGAACAGCACCCTTTTATTTATGGTAAACTCAGAGACTCCCACTTCATTATGCACAGAGTTGTAAGCCAATGGATGCAGGAAAGATACATGTTACCAAAATTTATGAATGCAAAACTATAAGAAAAACTAAACCCATTATTGAAAGAAAAATGCAGAAATTATATTTCTCCATTAATGAAACAAATAAAAAGTAAGAAACAGATTATCATTCATTCCCAAAGAATTTTAAATAGAAATCTGAAGATGCTAAACTTAAACATATGTATATTATTGAATGGAAATTAACATGGTTCAAAGATTCAATACTAGTTTTTGTTTTTCTTTTCTCAGATCCTGTGTTTTCTGAACACTCTGAATTGGAAAATCACACTATAAGGACAGAGTTTATCTTGTTGGGGCTGTCTAATGATCCACACATAGAGTTATTTTTTCTTTTCTTGTTCTTCCTCATTTTTTTACTCACTATCTTTGGAAATATTATAATTATACTAGTGATCAAGTCTGAATTTTGCCTTCAGACCCCCATGTTCTTCTTTCTCAGCCATTTAGCTTTTGTTGACATCTGCTATTCCTCAGTCACTGTTCCCAAGATGCTAGCAAATTTTATTACAAAACAGAAAACCATTTCTTGGGAAGGATG